GATAGAAAGATAGATAGATAGATAGATAGATAGATAGATAGATAGATAGATAGATAGATAGATAGATAGATAGATAGATAGATAGATAGATAGAAATATTCAGAGAAAAACCAAAAACTGTTGATAAATTCAAAGAGTGTTCTTGCCCATCCCTAAACAGTATGTTGTTATAATTATTGCTGATCAAGCTATTTAACTTAAAAAGTGTAATATTCTGAGTGCATTGTTTGATATCCTCATCTTATTTGGTCAATGAATTTTATACCAACAGTCCCCTCTCAATGCCACTGATCAGTAACTCTCAGCTCACACCCAGCTCTGCCTCCGATTCGCTCCTTCTGCCAAGCTTTTAATCAATCATTGTTTTTTATGTGTTGTACTAATATCCTGTGGCTAATGTCGTTTACATGAATCAGCCGCTGCATACTAAAAGATTCAGGAGAAGTGATTTCAAGTACCATATGCCTGGTTTAAGTGGAAAGATAATTGTGCAGATTTTTGGCCTGATTTTTTCCAGTGTGGAAATCTTAAGGATGCACCGATTATCATGATGTCTCTAAAGATAATCTTAGGAGATATTCCTGCTTGTGTGGTGTGTTAAGAGTGATCTACAGTAGTCAGTTCGGAAGGACGTCAGGAACACTTTGAACTTAAATCGGGATATTCAACATGTTGGACAAACAAGCTCACAGCCGGATGAATGTGATGTGTAGCCAATCAGAGAGCAAGGTGGAAACACCTAGGGGAATCCAAAATACAGAACACAAAATAACTGCCATGGTCAGGGTTCCCACACATTGGTCAACATCAAATTCAAGGACACTTCAAGGACTTTCCAGTACCAATTTCGTCAAATTCAAGAACATGTGATCATGTCCAGACGCTCGGTGAGGACAGGAGGAGCTGTGGTGCTCCTGGGCTCAGAAAGAATGACCCTCTGCTCTGAGTGGGTAACACTATGACTATGGCTCACGTTATTTGTTGAAAGCCACATCAGTTTACCGTAATCCTGAGTTATCCACCATAACAAATGTCCTGATGCATCTCAGTAATCCAGGTAAAAAAATCAGAACCAGAACAAATGTAAG